CTTATCAGCAATGGAAATGTACTTCTCACGGTCCCAGAGGTAGCGGCAGATCTGGCGTCTGGGGAGGGCCCACCTCCTGGTTCACAGTCGGTCACCTTCCTACCCTGTCCTCACAAGACAGAAAGGGGAAGGGAGCTCTCGAGGGGCTCTTTTATAACAAGAGTGCCAATCCCATGCATGAGGGTCCCACCTCACGACCCCATCACCTCCTAATGCCATGATCACACTGAGGGATTAGGATTTCAACATAGAAATCTGGGTGGGCAGGGAAGGACACATTCACTCCCTAACACGAGCCGCGTTGTGTCCTCAAACCCCTGCACAGAAACTGCTGTGCTAGAAATGGGTATTCTTCAGGAAATTGCTAGAGACCCTTGTCATAACCAAAGTTACGAAATCGAATGTAACAATTGTTTTCAGTGGAACCTTTCTTTACGAATTTCACGTCGTTGTTGGAAGAGGGCCCCTTCCAAGTGGGCTGTGAATCTAATACGTTGCTTCCAGAAGAAACCCTTGACTTGGGGCAACACAGACCTTCCAGGCTTGGGCCTTGGGTGTTTTGGAGCTGCACAAAGAAGCCTGCAGGGCTGCTGCAAAGGCTGGAGGAAACCTGAGCTTGGTAGATGGAAGGAGCAGGGAATAAATAGGGGGTCTGAGGTCTGCAGTGGACATTAACTACTGCCGGTAGATGGGTGTAGACTCTGACATCAGGGAGCAGGGAGAGTTTTAAAGTCTGCAAATCAAGTATTAGACAGCGACATTCCCTGTGTCCCATCTCCTGTCTGGCTGGCTGTGCGCCATAAGCCAGTGGTCCCTAAGGTGGGTTGTTTCCAGGGACTTGCTACCCCTCACTCTCTGCCCTCTTGCTCTTTGTCTACAGGGGGAGCTTACCATGACCGGGGATATGGAGACCTTACAGAATGCCCTGTACCTGGACACAGTGCCGGAGCCCTGGGCCAGGCGAGCCTACCCTTCCACAGCAGGCCTGGGAGCCTGGTTCTTGGACCTCCTTAACCGAATCAAAGAGCTGGAGGCCTGGGTAGGAGACCTGGCAATGCCGTCCACGGTGTGGCTGACTGGCTTCTTCAACCCCCAGTCCTTCCTGACTGCCATCATGCAGTCCACAGCCCGCAAGAACGAGTGGCCACTGGACCAGATGACCCTGCAGTGTGACGTGACAAAGAAGAACAGGGAGGACTTCAGGAGCCCCCCTCGGGAAGGGGCCTATATCCATGGCCTCTTCATGGAAGGCGCTCGCTGGGATGCACAGGTAAATCTTGGGGGCGCCTCGTGACATCCCCTGTGGGCTGATTAACTTACATACTGCCTCCACAGAGTGTGACCCTGAAAAGGGATGTCCCGGGATCTTCTGGCCTAGCTACCCTACCCTTGAGGCTAGCCAGCCACTCTCACGGAGCCAGGGGTGGCGTGAAAAGCACAGACTCCACAGAGTGCATAGAGTACAGTGATGAAAAGCAAGGGCCCTGGACCCGAGCAGCTGGGTCTGAACCCCGTCACCACCATCTACTGCCGCTGTGGCCCTGGGACGTGGTTCCCACTCTCTTCATTCATGAGCTCTAGGAGGGCAGATGTCCCTTCTGCCTTTTACACTGTCCCCATCTGCAAAGGAAGCCCAGCAGATAAGATCTCACAGGATGTTCTGAAAGGATTCCTCACTGAATCCTAATAAAAAAGAATCACCGTAAGATTGGCTCAGATAAATGACATCAGCGAGGATGGAGGACACTTACACCTGTTATACCCATGACCGGGAAGGAGTGCTGAGTCAGACACCCTCCTTGGTAAGTGACACTTAACTGTTCCCAGCAGTCAACACCAAGTTAATGGGGAAAAACTGTTAGGACCTACAGTAATGCAGATAGCCATATAAACAGACATACAGCTGCACTGGGTTAAGCAGTGTCTACCAAAATTCGACCAGAATCTCAGAACGCACCCCTATCCAGAAACAGGGTCTTTGCAGAGATAAGTGGTTACAATGAGGAGAGCAGAGCAGACCCTAAATCCAAGGACTGGAATCGTTAGAAGAAGGCCATGCTGGAGGCACAGAGGCAGAGACTGCTGGCCAGGGACTTCCAGGAGCCACCAGAAGCTAGGAGAGAGGCAGGAGACAGTTTCTGCCTCAGAGTCTCCAGAAGGAACAGATCCTACCTACACCTTGATTTAAGACTCTGGCCTTCAGCACTGTGAAAGAAGACATTTCTGCTTTAAGCCATCAAATTTATAGTAACTTGTTATGGCAGCCCTATGAAACCAATTGAGGGCCTGTTAACAGAGAGGACAACAAAGTGGGAAAGTGCTTATACAACCTTGAGAAGGAAGTTGACTTCCCCCCACCACCTGAACATTTGTCCAAGATCCCATCCGTGGGGATCACACATGGATTGTAGGTATAGTGCGGCCTAGGGTGGCCAGAACTAGAATACCAAAAAACACCAAACTGAACAATTAGGAAAGAAGCTCAGAAGAGCACTGGCACTGTGGGAGAAGGGGAAAGGACACAGATTCCAATCATCTACCTCCAATATCTTATTACCTTGTTTCTTCATAATAATAACTTCCCAAAAAGTAATACCCACCCACCAAGAACTCTGGTTCTCAAGTTTCTGCCCCCAGAAAGATGTCAGCAAAATTAAGAGTAAGAATGTCCAAAAATCCTCTCCTCCATAAAATCATAACAACTGGACCAAAATTGTCAGAACCAACTTTTTCACAGAATTCTAGAAATCAACCAAAGGGGGAGCCTGGGTGTCTCAGTGGGTTAAACGTCTGCCTTCGGCTCAGGTCATGATCCTAGGGTCCTGGGATGGTTTCCCTCATCAGACTCTCTGCTCAGCGGGGAGTCTGCTTCTCCCTCTCCCTGCAACTCCTCCTGCTTGTGCTCTCTCTCTCTCTCTCTGACAATAAAGAAATAAAATCTTGGGCACCTGGGTGGCTCAGTGGGTTAAGCCTCTGCCTTTGACCTTCAGGTCATGATCTCGGGGTCCTGGGATCGAGGCCCACATTGGGCTCTCTGCTCAGCAGGGAGCCTGCTTCCCCCTCTCTCTCTGCCTGCCTCTCTGCCTACTTGTGATCTCCATCAAATAAATAAATAAAATCTTAAAAAAAAAAAAAAAAAAGGAAAGAAAATCTTAAAAAAATTTTTTTAAAAATTGGGGCACCTGGGTGGCTCAGTGGGTTAAAGCCTCTGTCTTCGGCTCAGGTCGTGATCCCAGGGTCCTGGGATCGAGCCCCGCATCTGGCTCTCTGCTCGGCAGGGAGCCTGCTTCCTCCTCTCTCTCTCTCTGCCTGCCTCTCTGCCTGCTTGTGATCTCTGTCCGATAAATGAATGAAATCTTAAAAAAATAAAATAAAATAAAATAAAAATCAACCGAAGGCTTTTAGCAATCCAAAGAGTGTTTTTTTTTTTTTTTTTTAAAGCAGAAGCAGGGAGGAGGGTCAGAGGGAGAGGCAGAAGCAGACTCTCTGCTGAGCAGGGAGCCCAACAAAGGGCTCAATCCCAGGGCCCTGAGATGATGACCCAAGCCGAAGGCAGACACTTAATTGACTAAGCCACCCAGCCTCCCCCAAAGAGTGTTTATGGAAGAAAAATGTCCAACTCTCAGTAAGAGGAGCAAGCTTTGCGGCCTTTTAACTTGCTCTGTTCCATCCCTTCCCCACCAACTCCGTGGAGGCCTTGGAAACCAACATGCCCAGTCACAGTGAAAACTGCAGCCTCCCAGCCACAGGAGGAGGCAAAATGGAGCTGGAGTACTTTCAAAGCCCCATTCCTAGAAAACAGGCATTATTTTCCCCATGTACTGGATTCCTGGAAGACCCCATTTACAAGTCTGCCTCTACTTGACCTGAGCTGGAGCTCACCCAGGACAACAGCCTTTCCCCCCAAGGGCATGTATGGAAAACAGGCAACCTCGCAGCTTGCCTGAGGTGGTAGATAACAGTGTAAATAACAGGCTAACCAAAAGGCTTAAAAGGAGAAAGTGGAGAATGAGATGACCTCCAAGATGTCCCTGGAAACCCAGAAGGACATGTCATGTGCAGCGCTGTGCACATGCTCAAGAAATACTGGAGAAGGCTGGAAGCTCACCTCTGGCTTACCTTGAGGCTCTGTGAAAGCAGGAAGTGAAGGCTAAGGCAGAGTTTTAAACTGCCCTGCTGAGCAATGATGGCATGCCCAACGCATACACAGTGCCCCTGAGTAAAAACCTTGAGACTTACCAAAATCTCTGGCCCATTACTTGCTAACCACGAAGCCAACTGAGCAGGCCACTTCAGTAGTCATATGTGACACGGGCTTTACAGAATTATTTCAGAAAAGTCACTAAACAATTAAAAACAACAAATCCTACAAAGGGAGAACTGATCGCCAGAGCTGCCACATTATAGTTTTTAAAATGTTCAAGTTTTCAAAGAAAAGTTATGAGACATGCAAAGAAACAAAAAGGGGAAAAAGCGGTCACCAGAAATGGTCCCTGAGGGAGTTAAGTGGGATATACTAGGCAAAGCCTTTTAATCAGTCATTTTAAATATGTTTAGAGAACCAAAGGAAAGTATGTGAACAGTGTCTCACTGAAGAGAGAATACTAATAAGGATAGAGATTACATTTTTAAAAACGAAGTAGTAACTCTGAAGTTGAAAAGTATAATACCTTAAATGAAAATTCAATAGAGGAATGCAACAGTTGAAGATTTGAGTAGGCAAGAATCACCAAACTTGGAAATACATCAATTAAGATTATCCAATCTGAGAAGTAGAAAGATAAAAAGAATGAAGACAAATGAACAGTTTAGAAAACTAAGGGATACCATCAAACATATAAACATCCACATAGTGAGTGTCCCAAAAGGAGAGGAGAGAGAAAGAGCCAGAAAGAACATTTGAAGAAATAATGACCACTTTCCAGATTTGATAAAAACATCAATCCACATATCCAAGAATCTCAACAAAATCCAAATAGGATAAACCTAGAAATTCATACCTTGAGGCTCCGGGGTGGCTCAGTCAGTTAAGCTTCCAATTCTTGGTATCAGCTCTGGTCTTGATCTCAGGGTCGTATGTTCAAGCCCCACATCGGGCTCTACTCTGGGCATGCAGCCTCCTTAGAAAGAAGGAAAGGAAAGGGAAAAGGAAAGGAAAAGGAAAAAAGGAAAGGGAACATGAAAGGAAAAGGAAAGGAATAAGGAAAGAGAAAAGGAAAGAAAATCCATACCTTGACATGTTATAAGATAAAGAGAGAATCTTGAAAGCAGCCAGAGAAAAGCAATTCATCACATACAAGGGGTCCTCAATGGAATAAAGAGCTGATTTCTCATAAGAAACCAGGAAGGCCAGAAGCCAGTAGAATGAAAAGTCAAACTGGTCAAAGAAAAAGACTGTCAGCCAACAATCCTATATCCAGCAAAACTATCTTTCAAAAATGAAGGCAAAATTAAGGCATTCCCAGGTTAACAAGAGAGAAAGAGGGGCACCTGGCTGGCTCAATCTGTTAAGCATCTGACTCTTGATCTCAGCTCAGAGTCATGAGTTCACAGAGAGACAAAGAGAGAGAGAATTACCACTTCCAGGCCAGACCTATAAGAAATACTTAAGGGAGTCCTTCAGGATGAAATGAGTTACAAGACAGTAACTCAAGTCCACATGAAGAAACAGAATATCAGTAAAGGTAATTATATATGTAAATATAAAGGAAAGTATAAATGAATTTTTTGGTAACTTTTATTTCTTTCTTAACTGATTTAAAAGACAATTGCAAGAAGCAATAACTATATATCTGTGCTAATAAGCATAAAAAATGTAATTTTGTATAACGAAAACAACACAAGGTCTTAAGCACAGGAAGGGTAAGGAATGGAACTTATAAAAGAATAAAGGTTTTGTATACTCCTGAAATTAAGTTGGTATTAGCCTGAAGTAGATTTTTTATACATTGATGTTAATTGTAATCCATAGGGAAACCACTAAGAAAATAATTTTTTAAAACAATGAATGAAATAACAAGGGAATCAAAATGGTACAGTAAAATATATCTACTGAATAGAAAAGAAGGCAGCAAAGGAGAAACTGAGGAACAAAAAAGAAGACATAGAAAGCAAATAGTTAAGGGGCAGAGGTAAACCTTACCTTATCAGTGATTACATTAAATGTAAACAGATTAAACTCTACAGTTGAAAAGAAGAGAATGGCAGAATGTATTTTTCTGATGCCACTATACTCTGTCTACAAGCAATACACTTTAGATTCAAAGACACAATAAACTGAAAATAAAGAGATGGAAACAAATATGTCCTCCAAATAGAGAATTCAACCACAGTAACTGGAGGCATCAATACCCCACTACTAATGGTAAGTGCTAATGGTTAGAGTTTCTTTCAGGAGTGATGAAAATGTTCTGGAATTACAATGCAAAGACTGTACATTAAAAACACTGAATTCAATACATTCTAAAAGGGCTGGGGTTTATGATATGTGGGGGAAAAAAGAAAGGTTCTACCCCTGTTCCCACTCCCTGCCATAAAGTTGTTCAGGTTAAATGGGTCCCCACCGTTTACCTTAGTTCTGTTACTCTTCATGCCTTAAACCAGTTTCTCATAGCACCGAAAAGGCACATTCTCCCCTTTAAATAAACTTTATGGGAAATGAGCCAAGCTCTATCCATAGTAGGAGGACCTGAATCACCAGGACAAAAGCAAGAAATCTGTGAATCACTTTGGATGAACATTTCCCAAAGTACGTTCCATAAAACACTAGTGTCATGGGAAACAAATAGGTTACAAAGAAAAGAGTCCTGTGGTCAAGTAAGTTTGGGGAAACCCAGGTTAAATAAAGTTCATCTCTTTTCTTTACTGCTAGGATTTCTTGTCTTCAGTGTGCTAGAGTGCACTATAAAACTTTAAGCCCAGGGTATGATAAACACCATTTCCCAAGTTTATTTGATGAAGGAACCCTTTTGTTCCTCAAAACATTTCTCAGGACTAGTAATAAATAAATTCATTAATTAAAAAATAATAATAAACTGTCCCAGATCTAATGGGATATCTAAGAAAGAGTCCCCAACTGGAAAGCTACAGACTAGTCAGGTCTGCCCTGTCACATGAGTAAAGACAGAACATAGCTCTGCTCAAAGTCAAAATGCTCTTGAGGGCGGATGAGGTCCCACAGGAGCCTGAACAGGACATAACCAAACTCTTAAAATCTAAAGCATTTGCTGGAAGGAACTGTGTCTTCCTTGTCTTTAAATCCCTAGCACCTAGCATGACAACATCTGGCAAACAGTCACATTTGATACGGTTATGAAACGAAAGGATGAAAAAATGTAGAGACTCGAGTTTCAAAGGGATTAATTGGTATGAGACACATAACAACTTCTAGAACTCTCCTTCAAAAAGTGATTTAAGCTGGAAAACAGCAGAAGTAGGTTTTTCGCATCTCAGATGCATTCCAACGCAGTTTGTTGAGTGAACCTGAAAGGCAGAAGGCTGGCTCGCCAGGCTCTGGGTCTGATCTAAGCTGGCTCTTTTCCTGTTCTTGTCCTCAGGCTGGGATCATTACAGAGGCAAAGCTGAAGGATCTGACACCCCCCATGCCTGTGATGTTCATCAAGGCCATTCCCGCAGATAAGCAGGACCGCCGTAGCGTCTATCCTTGTCCTGTGTACAAGACTTGCCAGCGGGGACCCACCTACGTGTGGACTTTCAACCTGAAGACTAAGGAGAATCCATCTAAGTGGGTTCTGGCTGGAGTCGCTTTGCTTCTCCAGACTTAGCTGCCTGCAGAACCACTAAGAAAACAAGGCTGGGCTGCAGGCTGCCCAGGACAAGTGGAGGAGGGGAGACAGAGATGCACAGATAAAGAATCAAATGTACTCACAATTCTGTAGAATTCTTGTAAGGAACCTGGAGAGAAGTGCCTAAAGCAAGGCAGAGCTGGAGGAATACAGAACTAGGAGAGAAACATTTCATAACATTGCACCTTACCTAATAAAGTGATTGATTCTTCGAGTGTGTCTGGTCCCAGCTGTGAGAGTGAAAGAGTCATACATGATCCTGAAGAGACCGAGAGAAACGAACCACAAACACTTGAGCCCTGATGCTGGTACCCAACACTCAGTGCTCTAGCTCCCAGCTACTCTGGGGACTAGACACATCAGCTCACCCCCGAGTCTACATTTTGACAAGCTCCCTGGGTGATAACATATGCACTTTACGGTTTAAGAGTACTTTGGATCAGGGATCGCCCGGCTTTTTCTGTCAAGGGCCAGAGAGTAAAGAGTTTAGGCTTTGCAGGGCCTTTGTCTCTGTTGCAGTGACTCAATGCTGCCATCGTGGTCCCAAAGTGGCCACAGCACATACATAAGTGGGTGTGGCTGGGCTCCAAAAAAACTTTATTTGCAAAAACAGACGGCCATATTTTGCAGATCATTGCTCTAGAGGATAAGGGAAGCACACCTCTGCTATCTATCCTTCATTAATCCACACATGCCTTCAATTGGTTAAACACCTACGGTTTGCTGAGAACACAACTGCGAACGAGGTAGGTTGTTTCCTTGTACCTCTATCATCCTGCAGATCATTTAAGAGAGACCCACGGAGAAACCCTTCACCTCAAGCTTTTTAACCTAACAGTTTTCTAGATTTTTCTCTATGGAACAAATTTTCACTGGAAGCCCAAAGAGTTCCACAGTTCTAAAGAGCTCTTATAGGGAGGCCTGGGTGACCAGAAGAGTCCAAGAGGGCACAGTATTCCTTCTAGAATCCTTAATCTTGCCTATCTCTAATGAATTATGACTTCAAACATTGGCCCTAAAACTTAAGCAGACACCAGAGTCCCCTTGGAGGGCTGGTTAAAACAAAGACTGCTGGGGGCCACCCTTCAGAATTTATGATGCAGTAAGTCTAACAAACTTCCGATGCTGCTGGTCCAGGGAACACATCTGCAGAATGGATCCAAAACATAAAATCCTGGGGTGCCCAGGTGGCTCAGTCGATTAAGTGTCTGCCTTCAGCTCCAGTTAGGATCCCAGGGTCCTGGGATCAAGCCCTGCATCCAGCATCGTGTTCAGTGGGAAGCCTGCTTCTCCCCCTCCCTCTGCCACTACACCCTGCTTGCGCTCTCTCTGTCAAATAAATAATAAGTAAATACATAAATAAAATCCCAGCACCCTATAAATCTCTGCTGTACCCAATACAAAATCAAATGCTAATTCCTCCATGATTTTCCTGGCTTTCTACCCTGTGGTTCCTGCACCCCCTAATGAGGAGTCATAAGGGAGTTAACAAATTCCTCTGGAATCCAGGAATTCCAACTTGTGTTTTTTCTTTCCTCATCAAACCCGTAACATACTTGCCAACAACCTACAGGTTTGTGACTACAGATTAATCTGCTTACAGGGGATGAGTTCTCCCTCCTCAGGAGCCTCAGCCTTCCCAGTCCTCCGCAACAGTAAAACGAGAGCAGGGGAGAGGAGGACCAAGACAGAAGGAAGGCGGAGCAAGACACTGTGGGGCATGTGATTCTGAAGGAAAGACAAAGTGCACAGGGTAGACAAACGTGTCCCCCTTCCAGACAGAACTGAAAGTAGATCAACACTACTGACTTCTTCCTGATGCCTACTGACAACAGGAGATCAAGAAGATCATTTAGGGGTGCCTGGGGGCTCAGTCAATTCACTGTCCCACTCGCTCTCAGCTCAGGTCTTGATCTCAGGGTCCTGAGTTCAAGCCCCGCGCTATGCTCCACGCTGGGCATGGAACCTGCTTTAAAAAAAAATAAATAAATCATTTTAAAGCACACAACACTTTGGAAAACTGACAGCCGGGAGAAAGGGGCAGGTTGAGGCAGGTGAGCCAGTGGGAGGTGAGCTCAGAAGGACACCAGAGATGACACACAGTTACCTGAGAGAAAGAACGCCCAGCACTAAGCGAGCTCTCACCCCTGGACACCAGGTTAGCGGTTTCCTATCCCTCTTCAGCTGACCGATAAACTTGGTAAGTTTGTACGGGATGATGAGGAGCTC